CCCCAAAACCCCAAAACCCCAAAACCCCAAAACCCCAAAACCCCTTCTATCTTATAAAATATGGAATCTCATAAAGTTGATTATAAATTTAAATATGCCTTCTAAAATAAAGGTTGCTGTCCGAGTGAGACCTCTTCTACCGCACGAAAGATCGAACAAGCACACGGAGGAGAAGATAGAGTGCAACCAGGATAAATAAACAAATTGTGTAAGTGATCTTCTAACCATGGGGCTAATCTGGGCAAATGCAAATGAACAATGGAGAAATATGGGAGTTAGCGTGATAAATATGAAATTGACAAGGCGAGCTAGAGTTTAGATGGCCAATAAGGCCTTTAAGAAACATACTGAGCTGCTTAGAACCAATCTGTCTTCTATAGAACAGACTTTAGAGGATTGACAGTTTATTGAAAACCCTCTTCAAAGTTTGCAGAGCTTTGTTACTACTCTATTTACTCCATTGGTTGTCCTTATTGATATACATGATTGTTAATTTGGATCTGGTATTTCATGTTCAGAGCATAGGGTTTTATTCAACTTCCTAGCTTTACTTTCGCCAGGAGCAGTAACTTCAAACTGAATATTTTATAAATATTTTCTTTACTGATACTCTCTGTTTTAAGTTTCAAATCAAAGAAATAAGAAAGTTAACTGGATAGAAAGTGTCAAACTTACGAAATTTTTACTTCGAGAAAGGATCATGGTGTCTGTCTGCCTCCCTACATTAGCATTGCTATTAAACAAATTTTGAATTTATCGGTTAAATTGGGTATAGACTACATTTGTCTGATAAAGATTCTGATCAAAGAATAAACAGCAAGAAAATATTTAAATTTGATAAAGTGATAGATGGAAGCTACACTCAAAACCAAGTTTTTGAAGAGCTGCATATTAAGGCTTTAATTGGAAAAGTACTTGAAGGCTATCATGCCACTATTTTTGCATATGGGCAAACTGGATCAGGAAAAACATATACAATGGAAGGATATGATTATGTGAATTCAGGACCTAAAAACCTTGCCACAGGTGAAAGAAATGTAAAGCCTGTTATCAAATATACTGATGATAATGGAGTCTCTATCAGAGCTATCAAAGATATCTTCGAGCAAGCTGATAAACTCAGATCCACAAGGACCAAGAACATCAAAATTTCGTGCTCATTCTTGCAAATCTACAATGAGAAAGTGTTTGATCTGCTCAACATGGCCAACCTGCCTGTCAAAGGAAACGCCAACTCAGTCGGAGGCCTCAAAATGAGATGGAACAAAACCGAACAGTTTGTGGTTGAAAACCTGTTTGTGTTCGAATGCTTCAGTGCAGAGGATGCGCTCAAGATATTCAACACCGGAATTAAATAACAGAGTTGTGGCTTCTCACAACATGAACAACGCTTCATCAAGGTCTCATTGCATATTTACAATGAATGTAGAACAGAGCAGCTCCGATGACTTCAACAATGTTGTCATCAGCAAACTGCAGTTGGTTGATTTGGCTGGAAGCGAACGAGTAGGGCTCACCGGAAACACTGGAGTCGCTTACAAAGAAAGCATCGACATCAACAAGTCGCTGTTGACTTTGAGGAAAGTCATTAACGGACTCGCAGACAAAAAGACCAACCAGAAGAAAGCCCACATTCCGTACAGAGAGTCCAAACTTACATGTTTGTTGAAACAGAGTCTGGGTGGGAACTCTTACTGTCTGATGATTGCATGTCTGCCTCCAAGTGACTTCTACCTTGACGAGAACATCAGCACTTTGACTTATGCGACCAAGGCTTCATACATATCGAACACTCCGAACAGAAACGAAGACCCTCGCATGAAGATCATTCACGAACTCAGAAAGAAGATCAACTCGCTTGAGAAAGAACTCAAGGCTGCCAACGACCACATCGGTTTCTTGACCAGTCTGACTGGAGGCGCCATCGCAGGCAATAGAGCCAACAAAGCTGGTTTATTCGACGACAAGAGACAGCCCATGACTGAACAAGAAGTACACTTGCTTGATAAGGTTCCTCTATCGGCTGGCAAAGACAGTAGCACTGTTGAAGCTGACGAAGAATTGTTTACAAGCGGAGTCGCACCGAAGGAGTTACCTCTAAGCCACCAAAAATAGCGCTCCACCAGAAGGACAAGCCAAAATGAGTGAAGATCCATATGCTGAAGAGTATAAGAGCGAAACAGCAGTGGTTCCTAAAACAGCTGGGACTTCCAAGCAATCAAAAAAGAAGAAAAGCAAAGGCTTAAAAGGTCTCAATAACAGTATTTTTATCTTTTAATTTTTAGTAAGCAACACCATCGTCAAACTTGACCAAGATACTATTAGTGAAAGACTGATCGAGAGTGTAGGAATGGTAACAGATCTTCTTCAGTCCAATCATCAGCTAAGAGACTCTATAAATGCTCTTTACAAAGAAAAAGAGAATATCGAAAATGACAATTGTGTTCTCCAGTCTGATAACCTTGAACTTAGAGATAGAATTGAGATTTTAGAAAGTATCATTAAAGCCAATGCTAATGATTATGAAAATTACGACTGGAAGAAAATTATTGAAGAAGAGAATGATCTCGGAATCTCAACAGTCAAAAGTATAAACAATAAAGGTGTTGAGAACGTCGCTTCAGCTATGATCGAGGTTAAGAAAGAAAATAGAATGCTCAAGACTAGAATCGAACATTTGGAGTTACAGATATCTCATTTAACAAACCATTTTGATTACCAAGGAAATATTGAGCCTACAAGAACTTTTATGAATGTAAAGGGTTCTAACCCTAATAATTCAAATGGGTTCCTTTCCGAACAATCACCGCATACTTATTATGATTCAAGTGGGTTTGGTCCTCAGAAATTAAATTATGCGAATCCTCCTCGAAGTCAGAATATGAGGTCTACAGGATTCAATAGAGGAAGAGTTGATATAAACAGTAAAAATAGTTTAAGAGAAGTAGGAAGAAAAGCTAAAAGAGATCTCTCAATGAAGAACGGATCAAGTAAAAAGGGATTGAAATAACAAATCTCATTCTAACGTTGTAGATTACTCAATGTCAAATCCATCCCATGGATTTGGTCCGTTAGATGATCCTTTGCCCCCTGCTGTCCCTCAAGGTCAAGGATCTTACTCAAATCAGAACCAGATGATGGTAGTAAAGAAAGGTGGACAAGAACCCTTAAAGGACAAAGATGAGGCATTAAAGATGCTTTATAGCATGATGATGAATAGAGTACAAAAGAAAAGACATGGAAATTACTAAAAATAGCAGATATAATTCTAAATTTCAAGAGAAAGCTCCTACACAGGGGTTTTGGGGTTTTGGGGTTTTGGGGTTTTGGGG